CATTCAGGTGGTCACTCTGTGTAGCCTGGGCTTCTAGCTTGGTTGCTGAGTTTTGAGGGATGGTGTCTCAGAGCATGAGTTGCAGGAAGAAAGAAGTATAATTTGACAGTCCCTTGAAGGCCTGGGCTCAGAACTCTCAGATGCCACTTCCTGTGTATTCCGTTGGTCAGAGCCCTCCAACGGCCAGCCCCAGGGAGGCCGCAGCTCTTGATGTGAGAGGCAGCTTGTGCTCATGGGGAGGGGGTAGTTTAGGGGTGCATCTGTAGAGACTGGTCAGCATACAAGTCTGCCGCCAGCCTGTCCTGATTCCTTTCTTTGTTATCTTCCTTATCAAAATATCTTGGTTCTCTCTGATTGCTCTTAAGATTTTATTTCTGTCTTGGATATTCTCCAGTTTCACTGTGAAATCTCAAGATACAGACTTGTTTATCTGTCTGGCTTGGGGTACATGTACATCTTCTTATGGAAGAGTCAAGTCTGTCATCAATTTTGGAAAAATTCGACCTTTTTCTCTTTAGGTTCTGCTCCTCTCTTTCTCTTCTCTTCATCTGGAACTCTTAGACAGTTTGTTGGATAGTGTCGTACAATTGTTTCTTATGTGCTAGAGGGCGTTATTAACTCAGGACTGAGCCTCCGCAGGGTGTCTGCTCAGAAGAGGACTGGGCTTCTTGCAAAGCTTCGCCCAGACTGGCTGTGGTCCAGCCAGGCATACAATCCTTATCAGCCGCGAAGCTTGGTGCCCAGGCCCCTAATTATGCCAGAGATGGGTCTGTTGATTTCCAAGGCAAAAACACTGACGTGGCAGATTCTGCTACCAGATCGCCTCATCTCACAGCTGCGCTAGCAAGACTGGGACTTAGCACTCAGATGATGCCAGGCAGGGCAGTTACCCCAACCCTGGGTATCAAGCCAGCAGGTTTGGGATAGACAGAGTTCTGACACATTATATGGAAGATTCTACACATCATATTGTGATGGTATCCCTGCCTCTGATCACCCAGGCAAGGGACCAGTGCTTCCCTAATCATGCAGCTTAAAAGTTCCACAACCCAAGCATTGGGATCCCATTCCGAACATCTGCCATCCCGCCCAGCCAGACTGCTGTGCGCTGCCCTAGAGGGTCATGGGCAGCAGGAGACATGCACGTCTGCTACTGCTGCTGTTACCAGGTGCCTTCTGTGATGAACTCCACTCCAGTAGCCTTATGTGTGAGCTGCTTGGCCATTTGCCCTTTCCTTTTTCTCTCCTCTCCATGTGTCTATGTTGCGTTCAGAGTGCTTTCTATCAGGCCCCTTCCCGTTCACCACAAGCTTCTTATCTGTATTTAATCTGCTTTTTAATCTGTATTTGATCTACCTTTTAATTTTTTTTTTTAGTGACTGTATTTTTTATTTGAGAATTTGTGTTTGGTTACTTTTTTTAAATTCAAATTCTAGGAGTTCTTTTTTTGTATACTTGTCTTGTTTTTCCATATGTTTCATATCCTTTTATCTCCTTCATAATCTCGAAGTGATTTATTTCATAGCCTCTTTTAGATTGTTCTGTTATTTCCACTGTTATTTACCACGTGTGAAATACACTGGTGGAAAGACCTGTGAACCCAGCCCTGCAGAGCAGTGGAGCAGTTTCATATCTGCTTCTGCTGGAGCCATTGACATTTTGGTGGTTTTAGACCAGATTTATATTAATTTCATGGCTTGGGGCTCGACCACCTTGTGGGTAGTCTGACTTTGCAACTCACAACAGAGTA